AGATCAGACAACATCAGTGGTACTGGGCGATGGGGTAGCTTCGATCGGTGTAGGTTGACTTGGAGGTCGATCTGAGGTCTTGCGAAGTGTAGCTGCACGAACGCCAGTCGTGCTCATTGCACGTGTACGGACCTGGAATCGATAAATCAATAACTGTTCACACTTTCCAATGTTGTAGGCAAAACTTTGTTTATATTTCTCAATGTCAAAGAGGTAACCGATATAGGGGTAGAACTTCTCGCGCTCCAATGCTGACGGTTGGACCGCTGCAATGGCTGATTCATTCACGTTCAGAGTAGAACAGTCCAACCATTGGCGCTGGAGCGCGGTCTTCACTGGTCGCGCAATTCGAAAACTGCGGGACGTCGTAGTGAAGTATGAGCGGAACCTTATTGTGATGGTAAATGATGGGGAAATACTGTTGTAATGCAAAAGTTTACAAGAAATATGTGATTCGTGCAACTGCGGACTAAAAAGCCTTCGAAGGCTCCTTGTTCCTGTACATTCCATCAGTTTCAGGCTCACCCCGTCTTCAAGACACATTCCACGCTTGTCATATAGGAAGGGCTGGGCCTAACATTGTCCGTTTCTTGACCCTTATTTGAAAGGATAAAGAAGGTCGCACCATTTAAAGAGGAGGGCGCACCGATGAGGAGAGCTTAATGGGTTGACTATCTCCGCCCATACGATCAGCATGAGGTGCAGGTTCAGGTGAATAGGAAGAAACAAGGTGCTACAGCCTTGGGGATATATTGGTGGAAAGCATTAATTAAAGTTGTTCCAAACCAAAAATGTAAGAAAAGGTTTTACAATGAGCTAATGTCTTACCTGTACAAGATTCACGACCTGGCCCTGATTCATCACTCGAACTGGGCCCATTCTGCCCTCCACCGTACCAGCTGAGGAGGCCCGATCTCCTGGAAAGGATGACATTCAGAGATGATTTAGCAGTTGTTAGAATTTATTTAAAGTAGCCCTACGGACAAAAAGTTAATTTTCGAGGATTACAAAATCCGTTTGAGTCCAATATGGAAATTTGTTCAAAATCCTACCTCTGCTGGTGCCCTGTTCGGCGTTGACAATTGGTGGCAGAGTTTTTGAATGAACTGTTAATGGCACAATGGCGAAAGCTTTCGCGCTGCTCGCACTCATTACCTGGAAAGAGGGATTATTGATGGCTTCCAAAGTGAACTTCCCTTTGCGTCTGCTTTGACTGCCTTACTTAAGGTATCCATTAAAAATGAAGCTGTCCAGGAAGTTCAGGAGCAATAGGGTAACCTCCATAAAATCCTCTGAATTTAGTGTATGGGCTATGGAACTGTTCGAAACTCGAAGGAAAATTTGAGAACATGGCGCATTGTCAAAGGAATGAAGCATCCAGGCTTACGGACGTGTCCTTCCCTCGCCTACTGAGTCCTGGACTCTCTCCCATATCCTGTCAAGTGAATGTCTAAGAGGAAAATGTCACGCAAATGCAGTTTGCCACACTTCCGGCCGGAAGTGTTATTTTTCGTGCTGCTTGGGAAGGACTAACAACTACCCATTCATCCTTTTTCTACACTACATTAACCTGGTTCTGTTATCCCACTTCCCTAGAAAAAACCTGCGTGGGCACCCATGGGAACCAGCTGATATTCAAAAGTTTCTCAGAAAATACCCTCCCCCCCCCCCCATAAAAGCATACGCCTGTGTGAAATGGTGCCTTTGCACTGCGCTGCACCCTTCTCTTCAATAATTAATGGCCCCACTTACCAATTGAGGCGAAGTGTTAGGAGAGAAGTGGAAGGTGTCCTGGAGATCGTGAGTTTGAGGAAACTGATAAGCTCCATTGCTTTCAGTGGAACTCGGTGGTTCGGCGTCGTTCTCCCGATCCCGATGCGCTTCCCATAGCGTGACCCGCATATCGCCAGCCAGCAGAAGTGGACACCTCGAAGCGCAAATAAATCGAAAATAGTGTGCCCCAAGTTAGAATTGATGAAAAACACCGATCAAGATGCGAAAGATTAGCAAAAAAATCCAAGGTTATCAGCTTAATATCACTGACAAATGTAATTAAATTTTGACTTGATAATCCGTCCCAAGAGCCATACATCAATTTATTCCCAGAAATGGTCGGAAAAATCTCCAAATTTAATGGAAAGGAGAAGAAGTAGTAATAAGTAAATAAATAAATCAATATAAATAGATAAATAAACAACTAAATAAACAATTAAATAAAAAATAGAACAATGGAATGTCAGTCGCTGGTTGTATTCAAAAATGCATTAAAATGATTGCAAAAATCTGAAGAATTTCGACAGTGTAGTATCCCTTTGCTTCCTTTTAACGTAATGAAAAATATATGATTTGATCTTTTCCTGCATCTATAAAGACCTTACGCACTTCGGGTTGGTGGGGGCACTATGGTACTCTGTGAAGCTTTCAGATTAGTTAGTCCCCAAGGCCCCTCAGTGAATGGGGGCTAACGGAACGAACGTAGAATGTAGTGTAATGTGGTGTTTTCTCGAAGGAATTGGGCACGATTGCTGGAGGCGGGCTGTTGTCGTCAGCGTCATTGGTGGAAAGCGAGAAGGCGTTCCGTTACACCCCACTCAGCCCTTCTACCGAAGACGTTGCGCCTCAGCCATCGTGCCTACTGCCTTCAAGTGTGAATCAAAGTCTAAATGAAGGAAGTAGCTAGAGTGTCCCATCTACTCTCAGGGCGGATACACCCACCCCCCCCCCCAGCCTACGAAGCAGCAGAAGAAACTGAAATCATAGCGAGTGAAACATTATTACCTGATATCCAAAATATTTGAGGATGTCTGCTTTACACATTGGACACGTCCGATGTTCCAATAACCAAGGGTCTATACATGATTTGTGATAGACGTGCCTGAAACAAATAAATAAACTAATAAAAAATAAAACCATGTTGTCATAACGACTGGTTTATTTAATTGTCTTGTTCCGTGGCACCCATTGACGGCAATTTTGCCTCCTGAAAAGCATTGACTTTTGAACAAGTGCTTTATAGAGAGGTTCTGAGGACAAGTTGAGTTCTGTATTGGAGTGTAATTTTTTCACACTTAAAATGAATTAGGGCAATTTGAAATCCGCACTTATCCGTAAAAGCTGAAAAATTCAGAATTCATTCAGCATCATGCACCTTTTCCAGATCTCTCGCTTTCCAAAAATCAATCATCTGTCAGTGACACATATTTCAAGTGCAATATACCCCTCTCCTGCCCCCCCCCCCCCCTCGACGGGATTTTTTGTGTGGGAGAAAACGGCGGAGGATAAATCCCACGAAAAATTTCGGAAAAGTGGTGAAGGTAGGAATGAGGGAGGGGGTCGCACCAAGGCAATAAATTTGCTAGGAAATAAATAAATTAATAATACCATTAATATTAATAATAAATTTAATTAATAAATTAATATTAATAATAAAATTAGTATGGATAAATATATAAT